CCATGTGCGCTCGCTCATTGGGTGGCCTAAGGTGTCCTGCAACATCCGTTGACTCAAGAGGGGGATTAGGCCCTATAAGTAGTCTCATGGTTCTCATTCCTTTCTCCCACCAGATGAATGGTTTCCATTTGTCTAACCAGGCTAACCCTAGGATCACTGTCTCAGTCATTTTTGGAGCCACCAGGAAATGAATAAATTCCCAGTGTGCACCTATTTGTAGGCGTAAGGGCTCAGTTAATTGTGTGACAAGAGTCCCTCCCATCAGGGAGCCATCAGCTTGCTCAAACCTCACCGGTTCGGAAAGCTGTTTTGCCCGTATGCCCATTCTCATTGTAAACTGCCGACTAATAATGCAGCGGGTGCATCCAGTATCAATTAGCACATTTAAGTCCATTTGTGCCCCAGACTTAGGGATGATAAGCTTGGTGGCCAGTGAAAAAGGCGGGATTTGTTGACTCACCATCGTGTCATTCTCTCCTTCATCGTCACTGTCAAAGGAGGATAGAGCAGGGGCGGGTCCAATCGGAGTCCCAGTGTCCTCCTGTGTGTGGGGTGTAATCTGGGTGACAGGTTCCTGCGTGAGCCGGTTAGATTTTTCTCTCGTTAGTCGCTGAGCAGGTTTCTTTCGCATTGCTGGTTCTGGTCTGCTCTGCCGTCGGGGGTAGGGGATTGGACAGGTGGCCGCTCGATGTCCTTCTTGTCCACACCAGAAACACTTAAAGGAAGGGCGTGTAGGTGGCCTGGGTCTCTCAGCCATTGCTGTAGTTGAGGGCTTTTGTGGGGGTAGCTCTGGTTGCTGCCGTAGTTGAGGGCTGCTGTCCGGGTAGCTCTGGTTGCTGCTCGGGTTTGCATGGGGGAGGCTTCTTATAGCGAGAGAGCTTAACGTCTAGCTTCACTGCTGTCTGGTACCACTCCTGTAGTCGATCAGGTACTTCTCTGTAAATGCAGGCCTGAGGGAGGTGATCGTCTAATCCCTCTACAAAGTATTGAAGCAGGGAGTGTTCGGACCACCCCTCTATTCGGCCTGCTAATTTGCGGAACTCTCACAGGTACTCCAGGGCAGGCCTCCCAGCTTGTTTTATTTTGTGAATTTGTCCTGCTGCTTTGAGGCCAATGGAGGGGTCCTCAAATCGTTCTCTCAGACTTATTAGAAAGAGGTGGGGATCTTCCAATTCGGGGGCTTGCTCGCTATATAAATTATTCAGCCATTCAGCTGCTTCTCCTTCTAGGTTGGATACCATAACGTCGACCAAGGCACCTGGGTCCGGATAGTGGCAGGCCCAGTGATTCAAGTGAGAGCATCCTTGGTTGAGAAAAAAAATCAGCTTCTCTGGGTCTCCATCGAAGGTTGCGCTGAAGGCTGGTGCAAACACTGGCTGTTGTGGCCCCCACTGGGGCTGTTGTTGCTGGCCCCACCCTAACTGCTGGTTCCATGGCTGCTGGGCTCTCTGCTGCTGACGTGGTGCTCCCAGTTGCTGTTGGCCCCATCCTGCCTGCTGATTCAACGATTGCTGGGCTCTCTGCTGCTGGGCAGCAGGGGCTGGTGGTGCCCACTGCTGCTGCAGGCCTCCCAATGGTGACTGGACATGCTGGGCCTCCCTCATCTGCAAGCTCACCAGGTGTAGCTCTTCTGGCTTTTGCATCACCTCAAGCTGCTGCAAGGCCTCTATTAGCTGTGGTAAGCTCAGTTGCTGCTGATCATCTATCAGTGGGGGGTGCCACCCTGCCCATTGCTGCAAAGGCCTCAATTTGGGATTCCCTCCGTCTTCAGGACTGTGACTCACCATTTCTGCTTTTGAAGTTTTTTCTCTCAGCTGGGAAATCTGCCAGATTCCTCTCTCCCCTGGCTTGCCGGCTGTCGCTTTCCCCCCCCCCAGGGAAACTGTTGCAGCCAGGGGGCTGGCCTCAGACAAACTTTCTTTCTCTATAATGAGATCTTCTCCGAATCTTTACCAGCTCCTCTCAAGCCTAGAGGCAGTGGATGGAGTTCGGGACCCCAGGTCATTTTAAAAGGAGTTCAGATCTAAGCATGATGTCATGTGTCTGATTAACGAAACACTTAAAAGGACTTTCAGGCATAATTTTTCCTAAAAGCATTTATTAAGGTTACAGAGACGTCAGTACAGCATGGTGGAATTGCTTAGATCTGGCTTCTTTTCCGTTACACATATACATTCTAAGCATTTCCCCTCCCTTATTTTGGGGTCATGGTTCACATCTTCCAATTAACTTGGAAGATGTGATTTACTTCCGGTTTCTTTTCCCCGGGCTATCCTTATTCTCCTCCCTTTTTCCCTGTTGCCTGGTTTAACTATAAAAATACCAGACAGTTCTGCATATTGTCAAAGCAAGAATATACAGTATTTGCAGCATTGACAAAGTATTTGTGCCCACCGGATAGGTGTGCAGTCTCCACGGTCAAATGTAAGTGGTGGTCATGTATTAAGTGGCATACCCAAGACCCAAAGGAGATGGAGCACATCTTGTTTGAAAAGAATAATACAACATCAGACTCCTGTGGAAGGGATAACTGTAATTTGGTGACTCTCACAGTCAAGAATGGCAGTTGGTTCCTGGAACAAAATAAATGGGAAAGACGAAATTGGATGTTTGGGATAGGAATAGATGCCGACGGCTACGATCCAATATCAGAGGTAGAAATCAAAATTATAACTGCAACCAAAAGATCAGAACAAAAATCATTATTTTGGTCATATTATGAAGAAATGGAGAAACCAAATATTCCTGAAATACCTAGATATGTAACCAATACCTTTGTTAAGTTAGCTGAAGATATTGCCTATACTTTAAACGTGTCCAACTGTTTTGTGTGTGGTGGAACAAATATAGGAGAAAAATGGCCATGGGAGGCACAAGAGTTAAATTATACCAAGGTACTAGAAATGTCTGAGAATAGTAGTTTAACCTATACGAGTGGGAAAGATGGCAATTGGACTCTCACTTCCAACCTGGTAGGACATGTATGTTACTCAAGGAACAAAACAGAATCTTGCGTAGCAGTAGGTAACCTCCTATTCACAGGGATTTGGGAAAACGGTAAATGGTGGTCTGGAACCAACGAAACCACTAATATGGATCATTATGCCCTTACTAACGTATCTGGGATGCCATATCTAAAAGACCCCACAAATACCAGTTTCCCTTGGCTAGCCCTGGATGGAATGTATTGGATTTGCGGAAGAATGGCATACGGACAACTACCTAAGAACTGGTGTGGATCTTGTGTATTGGGAATAATTCGACCAGGATTTTTCCTGTTACCATTAAAAACTAAGCAAATTCTTGGTGTTCCCATCTATGATGAAATTGGCAATGTAAGACAAAGAAGGGAACCAAATGCATACACCCAATGCGTAGGAATCACTTGGCAAGAACATGAATGGCCACCTTGCCACATTATCCTAGTTTATGGCCCGGCTACTTGGGCTGAGGATGAAATGTATGGATACCGTACCCCTATTTATATGCTCAACAGGCTCATTAGGTTACAAGCGGTGGTAGAGTTAATTACTAATGAGACTGTGCAGGGACTAACTGAATTGGCCAAAAAAAATGTGAAATCCAGGACATATATTATGCAAAATAGGTTAGCCTTGGATTATCTGTTGGCCAAAGAAGGAGGGGTATGTGGAAAATTCAACCTAACAAAATAGAAATAGATGAAAGTGGAAAAGTGCTGAAAGACATAACAGACAGAATGGTCAAACTAGCTCACGTTCCGGTACAAACCTGGAAAGGATTTAATTTGGAAGACATATTTTCAGGAAGGTGGCCAAAGTTACCAGGCCTACAAACCATCATAGTTATAGCAGTCTTGTTCATTCTAGGATGTATTTTGATTCCTTGCTTACTCCCCTGTGTTATAGCAATGATTCGAAGAATCTCAGAAAGTACAGCCCAATTAACTGCAAAACATGAAACAATGTTAGCTTTATGGGAATATAAAATGTTGCCCTCTAAAGATCCTGAATTGGAGGACAAATGATGGAAGTTTAAGCGAGAAAACTTCCAAAGGGGGGAATAATGTGGAATAATGAACAATTACTAAAATAATGATTTGTCTGCATAATTACTAGAATAATGATGTGTCAGGAATAATGCATAATCACTAGGAAAATTCTGTGTCAGTAATATGTGACTAACCTAATGCGCATTGCACATGGATACAATGTATGTNTAGCAAACCCTCCATTGTATACCCGTGAGAAACGAACCTAATGTATTACAATGTGTATTTCAATGTGTATTCCTTTGTTCCTGAGAAAAGGAAAGTATAAAACTGAAGTTTGAACCCGCCCTCAGGGTTCAGAATTGCTTGTCTCTATTGCTTCTGAACCTGCGCAATAAATCTCTCTGCTAAAACCCTCTGGAATTCGTAAAAGTCCTTTCGTTTTCCACAAGAATTTAAAAAGGATGTTGAAACTCTGGAAAGGGTGCAGAGTAGAGCAACAAAGATGAATGGAGTACTGGAGGCTAAAAGATACAAAGAACACTTGCAGGGATTGGGTATAACTAGTTTAATGAAAAGAAGGGCTGGGGTGACATGATAGCAGTGTTCCAATATTTGAGAGGCTGCCATAAAGAAGTGGGGGACGGTCAACATTCTCCAAAGTACCTGAGGGCAGAACAAGCAGCAGTTATTCTCTCAAATGGAGACGGTGCTGGCTCTTTATTTCAAGGGTGATGGGATCTCTACTTCGTACACAGCTTCAAATTTGGATTTAGACTAAGACTGTATTTTCATGCACGCTTCCGAGGAAAGAGGCGGCCTTCCTATGGTCCGAGGTAAGCAGTTTGGGACGACCGATTCTCAGGACGAAGGAATTCGCCCAACGCTCAACGCAGAACGCCGCACACGAAGATAAAACAGTCCGTTTCTCTTCGCTCGCGCAGGCCTGCGTCTCGAGGACGCCTTCCTCGCAGAGTATTAGCAGGAGTTGGGCGGCCCGCGCTGCGCCTCCCTCTCCCCATTCCCTCGGGGGCGTGGCTAGCTTTGCCTTTCGCCATGATGAACAAATGACCTCGCGGGGAATGAAATTTAAATTCTACAAAGGCGAGAGAGTTCTTTGCTTCGAGCCGGACCCGACCAAGGCGAAGGTGCTTTATGATGCCAAGGTGGGATTTCTCTGCTTACTGTGCGGCCCTTGTTTTCCCACGCGTCAACCGCTTCCTCCTAACGGAAGCCACCTCCTTCTCTGTGGCGCTTCCGGGCGTTGTTTGTGTCGTTGTTGCCACTTGCAAGGCTTCTGACAGGAGCTCGGAAAGAGGAAGCAGCTCTCTTCCATTTCCGTTTCTCCTTAAAAAAAAAAGTAGGATTTAAAATTATTAACATTGGGGTTTCTTCTATTTTGAAGCGGGCGCTGCATGCAAACGTACGGCGTCGGATAAGGGAAGAGATGGCCCTGAGTGAAAGACAGCTTCTTTCTCTCTCCATCCACGCCTAATCGTATTTGTTGCAAAAGTGCCACAAATTCTTTTAGGATGTGCATTTACAACTAGTGTGATCCTCAGGCATAAGAGTAGTAAATGGTTGGTTACAATAGGCAAACTCTGTGTGCAGGTAACAATTTGATTATTTTTTATTTTCTGATGAGTGTGAGATAAACACGTTCTTCGGTTCCTAATCAGAGGCAAACACTTGGTAATGAGGTATTTCTGTTTATAGTACAGTCCAGCTACAGTGCCAGTTTAATGCACACAGCTGAACTGCCTCTGACATTTCATGCCTGTTTGCTCAATAGTGTATACCGATATTAAAACTGCTTTCAAATATAGAATGCCAGGTTTTTATCTCTTCTGATTAATTGAAAATAGATTTTTTTATTTTTATATTTATTTTTGTGCACTGGCTTAAAATCTATTCAGTACCAATGCCATTTTTGCTGATTATGCAAGCTTTTTTAAAAAAGGAAGTGAAATTTCATTTCAGAGTATTGTGGTTTGTACTTGACTATATTTGTACAATATTCTTAAAATTTTGCTTAATCATGGTTCACCAAATAGACCACCCATGAGTTATGTGTATCACTCCATAAGATTTTGGGGATAAAATTCAAGGGCAAAATAATTGTCTTTTGTGGTGGCATTGTTATGGAATATAATATAATAGAATAGAGCTGGAAGGTACCTTGGAGGTCTTCTAGTCCAGCCCCCTGCTCAAGCAGGAGGACCTATACCATTTCAGACAAGTGACAGCCTCTTCTTAAAAACTGCAGTGATGGAGCGCCCACAATTTCTGAAGGCAAGCTGTTCCACTGGTTAATTATCCTCACTGTTAGGAAGTTTCTCCGTAATTCCAGGTTGCTTCTCTCTGGTCAGTTTCCAACCATTGTTTCTTGTCCTGCCCTCTGGTGCTTTGAAGAATAGTTTGATGCCCTCTTCTTTGTGGCAGCCCCTCAAATACTGGAATACTGCTATCATGTCCTCCCTATTTCTTCTTTTCTTTAGACTAGCCAAACACAAGTCCTCAGCCATTCTTCATATGTTTTAGTCTCCAGGCCTTTGATCATTTTAGTTGCTCTTCTCTGAACTTTTTCCAAAGTCTCAACATCTTTTTTGTAGTATGGTGACCAAAATTGGCTGCAGTATTCCAGGTGTGGTCTTACTAGGGTTTTATAAAGCGGTACTAATACATCGTATGATCTTGATTCTATGCCTCTGTTTATACAAGCCAGGATTATATTAGCTTTGTTGGCTGCTGCTGCACATTGCTGGCTCATGGTTAAGTGATCATCCACTAGGACTTCAAGGTCCCTCTCACAGTTACTCTTTTTGAGCCAGGTCTTGTCTAATCTGTACTTATACCTTTGATTTTTCCTGCCTAAATGTAAGACTTTGCTTTTCTCCACATTAAAATTCAGTTTGTTGGATAGGGCCAATTGTTCAAATTTGTCTAAATCATTTTGGATGCTGAGCTTGTCTTCTGGGGTGTTGGCTATTCCTGCCAGTTTAGTGTCATCTGCAAAATTGATAAGTTCCCCTTCAATTCCCTCATCTAAGTCATTTATGAAGATATTGAAGAGTACTGGGCCTAAGATGGAGCCTTGTAGTACCCCACTGCTTACTTCTCTCCAAGTGGATGTAGTACCATTGAGGACTACTCGCTGAGTACAGTTTGTCAGCCAGGTACACATCCATCTGGCGGTGATGTTGTCTATTCCAATTTTTTCTAGCTTACTAAGCAGGAAGTTGTCAAATGCCTTACTGAAATCTAAATATAATATGTCCACAAAAGAAGAAATAGTGGTGATATGATAGCAGTATTCCAGTATCTGAGGGGCTGCCACAAAGAAGAGGGGGTCAAATTATTCTCTAAAGCATCAGAGTGCAGGACAAGAAACAATGGTTGAAACTGATCAAAGAGAGAAGAAACCTGGAATTAAGGAGAAACTCCCTAACAGTGAGGACAATTAACCAGTGGAACAGCTTACTTTCAAAAATCATGGGCGCTCCATCACTGAAGATTTTTAAGAAGAGACTATACAGTCACTTGTCTGAGATGGTATAGGTCAGTGATGGCGAACCTTTTAGAGACCGAGTACCCAAAAACTGCCCCACCCCGCCTCACCCCACCCACCCGCAGGGCCACCCACCTCCAAGGCCCGCCGCAGATCGCCATCATGCGGCCCAGCAGCACCATGGTGGCCACACCCTCCACCCGTGCTCCACAGCATCATCTGTTTGCGATGGGGCGCAAGGGCGGAGTCTCATCCCCACTGCCCGCTGCCATGTCCTTGGCTGTGCTGCTCCAGGCGGGCCGTGCCTGGGGGCGACTCTCCTCCGGGGGGGCTGCTGGTGTGGAGGGGGCCACAGGGGGAGGCGGGGCTGGGGCGACGGCACGTGTGCCCACAGAGAGGGCTCCGAGTGCCACCTCTGGCACTCGTGCCATAGGTTCGCCACCACTGGTATAGGTTCTCCTGCTTGAACGAGGGGCTGGACTAGAAGATCTCCAAGGTCCCTTCCAGCTCTATTCTTTTCTAATTCTAAATGTGTCCCTTTTTCCATTTTTAGTACTTGTCCTTTTTGTCTTTCAGTTTGTCAGAGAGACCTTTGTGCAGCCATGCTGGTTTCTTCTTAAATTTTTTCTTTTTCTTTTTCAGTGGTATTGTGCCTGACTGGGCTTTTATGATCGCCTTTTTCAGAGTTTCCCACACTTCTTGAGTTATTTTCCCCTTTAGGATTTTCGTCCATGGAATCTTTCTTAGGTTCTCTCTGAGTTTGTTAAAGTCAACTCTTTTGAAGTTTAAGACTCTGGTTCAATTATTTTCTATTGTTTGTTTTTGCATTATATCAAATTTCAGTATGACGTGATCACTTTCACCCAAGGTTCCAGCAACTTCAACTCTCTCTATCACTTCTTTATTAGTTAGAATTAGGTCCAGTATAGCTTTACTTCTAGTTCTCTCCTCTACCTTTTGGATGATAAAGTTGTCGGCTAGGTTGGTTAAGAATCTGTTTGATCTCCCACTTGCTGCAGAGTTTGTCTCCCAGTTAATATCTGGATAGTTGAAGTCTCCCATTTCTACCGTGGTATGCTTCCTACATACGCTTGATAACTGGTTGGCAAAGAGTTCATCTATTTCTTCTGATTGGTTGGGGGGGCCTGTAATACACACCTATGGCAATTTCACTTTTTTCCTTTTATATCGACCCATATACATTCTGGAGGGATTTTATATTTGATCATGTGCATTTCTGTAGATATGTAGTGTTCTCTTACATATAGTGCAACTCCCCATCCTCTTTTTGTAGATCTATTTCTTTTGAACAATTTGTATCCATCCATCAGTACATTCCAGTCATGGGTTTCGTCCCACCAGATTTTTGTAATGCCAACTATGTTATACCCACCCTTGTGTACTATTGCTTCTAGTTCAGACATGTCAAACACAAGGCCAGGGGGCCAGATGCGGCCCGCGAAGTGGTTTCATGTGGCCCGCAAAGCCATCCTGAAAACAGGGAACAGCCCCCGCTGCCTTGGCCCTGGCCCAGGCCGGCTGGGAGCCAATGTACAATTTTGTGGTAGCCATCTATGCTGAAACACATTCAGTCTTAGCTCCACAAGACCGTCTGGAAACAGCAAGGAACCAGCCCTTGCCGCGTCGGCTCAGCCCCCTAGGTGCATGCTGGGGAGGTGTCACCCTTTGTGTGGAATGAAGAAATGCACCATCGCCTGGAAGTGGCCAGGAATCGCCTATTTCACATATCCGGCTTGATGGGCTCTGGGGGAGGGGTTTCGGCAGGCAGTGGGGCGCTCTCCTCACAGCGCCGAGAGGCTGAGCTGGACAGCGCGAATCCAAAAGAAACGCGAGGCCACCCAGCTCCCAGCCTGCCCGGTTTCGGCAGGCAGCAGGGAGCTCTCCTCATAGCGCCAAGAACTGAGCCGGGTGGCACGAATCCAATGAGAAGTGCAATGCTGCCTAGCCCCTAGCCTGCCCAGTTTCAGCAGGCAGCAAGGTGCAAAGCTGGCAAGCTTTGCACCGCCTGGCTCAACCTCTTGGCTGCCCGAGGAGAGCATCCCGCTGCCTGCTGAGACTGGGCAGGCTGGGGGCTGGGTGGCATTGCACAGGTAACGTTATTCTCATGCTGCTCATGGCATCCCCTCCCCCAGAGCCCACCAAGCCAGATATGTGAAGTACGTGAGGGCCATTTGCTGGCCACTTCCAGACGATGGTGCAGTTCTTCATTCCTCATGAAGGGTGACACCTCCCCAGCTGCATTTCTTGCCTGTTTTTCTCCCTCCCTCATCTCAAATATTTTCCTACCACTCTGTACTTAGGAAGGAAAGAAGGAAAGAAGGAAAGAAGGAGAGGGAGGGTCTGAGGGAAGTCCTGCCTTAGTCCTGCCCTGCTGCCCTTTCACCATCCCCTTGCCCCCTCCTCCTGGCCTATCCTGGGGGACTCCCATCCTATTGCTAAGGAAGCTTTGGATACAAAGCCGGTTCTCCTCCCATGGAGAGGGAATGGGCCTCCCTCTGACTTTGCCCTCGTACCCATCATGAGCAACCTGGCTAAGGAGAGCAAGCACAGCAGCAGCAGCCTTGAGGAGGCGGTAAGTGCAGCTGAGCGCCCCCTTGGGTAAGTGGGACTGGGCTTGGTGCTGCGGGTGCTCGAGGGCCAGGCTGGGCATTTGACCTCTGCTGCCCAGGGCTTCGGGCAGCCCGCACCACCAGTCCCCCCCACATGGCCTGAGAGGAACAGTGAGGCTCCTCCAGTGGACCATGCCTTGGCACTTGACCTGGTCCCACCCCCTTCTGCAGAGACCTTCAGATCTATCCCACTCCTGCCCAGGCACCCACAGGCACCCTTGACGCAAATGATGTAGAGCTGGCCATGCCCACCCAATAGGCCGCACCCACTCCATCCACACCCACCTAGTAGGCTGCACCCACCCTGGCAATACCCACCCGGCCCCCCAAGGGCAACCGCAATGTTGATGCGGCCCTCAATGAAATTGAGTTTGACACCCCTGGTCTAGTTCATCCTGTTTGTTCCCCAAGTTTTGAGCATTTGTATATAAGCATTTAAGACTTTTATGCCTGTCCATGGGTATGTTTCCTGCATCTACTGATTGTTGTTTGAGTGTTTCTTTTTTCTTATCACTCCCTATCTCAGCTGAAGGTTTGTGTTGCCAAACGTTAGCCTCGAAACCTTAATGACTTGGAGAAGATCTGCAAAGAGGAGTGGGACAAAATCCTTCCTGAGATGTGTGCAAACCTGTTGGCCAACTACAAAAAACCTCTGTGATTGCCAACAAGGGTTTTGCCACCAAGTACTCAGTCATGTTTTGCGAAGGGATCAAATACTTATTTTACTCATTAAAATGCCACTCAATTTATACCTTTTTTGAAATGCATTTTTCTGGATTTTTTTTTATTGTTATTCTGTTTCTCACTGTTAAAATAAACCTACCATTAAAATTATAGACTGATCATTCTTTGTCAGTGGCCAAATGTACAAAATCAGCAGGGGATCAAATATTTTTTCCCCTCACTATATGACTGGTTTTGTGTTCTAGAGATTCTAAAAATTGGTCAAACTTCCCCCTCAATTTTAGTTTAAAGACCTTTTGATAAATTGGGCCAGTCTTTTTCTGAGTACATTTTTCCCTGTTTTTGTGAGGCGTAACCCATTTCTTGCCTAGAGTCCTTTTTGTAGAAAATGCAGTCCATGATCCAGGAAACCAAAGTTTTCTTGGCGACACCAACCCTTTAGCCAGTGGTTTATTTCTAGAATTCTTTTTTCCCTCAATGGGGGTTGGCTTTTTGTTGGGAGTACTGATTTGACAATGGAAGTAAACATTATAGGCTTCCCACATTCCATTCCACTCTTAGTGTCTTGGAAAGTAAAAAAACCTCTACAATATGTGTCCTAGGTGTATATAGAATGCAGCACTTTAATTGTGGTTTAATGCATCATATGCACCAATAACAGTCTTTGAGGGGCTACAACAAAGCAAGATTCACTTTCATGATAAATACACTAATTACAGTCCCCACCAATCCTTTTCACAAGAAATTTTTTATTCTTATGATCTGATGCTTTAATAGATAGATAGATAGATAGATAGATAGATAGATAGATAGATAGATAGATAGATAGATAAGCATAATTTAAAAATAAAATGGTTTAACATATACCTATTTTTGTAAAATTGAGATGTTCACTTGACTGGTGATAGTTATTTGATAAAGATTTGAGCATTGTAATAGAGCTTACTTGTGCAGAAGTGCCCTGTATTCTACTGTAACTTAAACTGTGCAATTGAGTTTTGATTTTGCAAATTGGTATATATTTTAGTCACAATATAAAAAAGATGTTGAGACTCTAGAAACTAGAGTTTAGAGAAGCGCAACAAAGATGATTAGAGAAGCTAAAACATGAAAAATGCTTGCAGAAATTGGGTATGTCAATAGTTTAATGAAAAGAAGGACTAGAGGTGACATGATAGCAGTGTTCCAGTATTTGAGGGGTTGCCATAAAAAAGAGGGTTCAATCTATTCTCCAAAGCACCTGAAGGCAGGACAAAAAGCAATGAAGAGAAACTCATCAAGGAGAAAATCAACCTAGAACTAAGGAGAGGTTTCTTGACAGTTGGAACGATTAACCCGTGGAACAGCTTGCTTTCAATAGTTGTGGGTGCTCCATCACTTGAGGTTTTTAAGAAAAGATTGAATAATCATTCAATCTGCAATGCCTGAATTCCAGGAACCACTTCATATGGGCCAAATATAGCGTGCAAGGTTTCAAATAATAAAGTAGGATGATAAATAAGGGAACAAACATCCAAAATATTTCAAGAGGAAGCAGTTGATTTCTACTTTATCTTGAAGGCTGAGCTTGAAGAGGAGTAATGCTTCCCTTACTGCAGCGATCTCCAACCTTTGCGGCTTGGTGACCTGGCTGGGAGGGAGAGGGGAACCCGGACGCACAAGCAGTGGGCTGGCATGCATGTGCACACTGCTCAACTTGTGGAAGTTGTGCTGTGTGCATGCATGCCAGCCCGTCGCTCGCGCAAATTGAGCTGCGCATGCAAATATGCTGGCCCACTGCTTGAGCAGACCAGTTCTGAATAAACCACAGCCTGGTAGTGGGCCAGGGGTTGGGGACCCCTGCCTTACTGGATTTCTGTCATCTGGCTTGCTTGAGAATGAAATGAAGTAGAGATAATACGGATTTCAGAACAGGATTCAGTTTATATATGGTTAGCCAATAATATAGATGTGTTAATTGTTCATGAGAGTTTTCCAAATAAATGGTAGTGAGTTTTTAAAGCAAATTGGTATTATTTCTACTTTTTGGGGAAGAGGAGTTAATGAATTTCTTAAAGTAGGCAAGAAATCAAATTTTGAAAAGTCAGTGACAAGTACCAATTAATAATACATATTTAGAATAAACGTATAACTGAAAAACAACTGACAATTTATATTCACAGATAATTTCCTGTTGACAATATTTTTGGACCCATTTTATAGAATATGACACAGATCACAATAACACCAAATATCATGTAGTGATATCATTATGAATATATTGCTGTGGCAGGCTGTGTGATGTTATCACACCTTTGCCCACTTCAATTACCTATACCTTATTGACTTCTAAAGCAGAGGTCCTCAACCTTTGGGGCACTTGGCACTGGTTCCATGGAGAGAGGTTTTTCTGTGGACTGAGGGTACGTGGTTTTGTGTGCCACCTGCATCCTGTGGATGGGGCTTTGCTTGTTTGTGCAGACCGGTTGCTGGCATGCCGCGGCCTGGTTCTGTCCACGGACCAGGGGTTGGGGACCCCTGTTCTAAAGGAAGTAAATACCAAAATACCAAAACTCATTACAGTTATTTATTTTAATTTGTTGCATATTGAGATAGTTTATTCCAGGCAGTTTAATTTTTTTGTAATAGATGTTATTGCATCCAATTACTGCATTTAATCTCTGAAATATATTTAATCTTTTAAAATGAAGTGGTGGAATATGTTTTTAATTACTTAGCTTAGACTCCTATGTTGTAAGACAATGAAATGTAAATAATAATAATAACAATGCCTATAAAAATGTTTGTGTAAGCATGCATGTGTTTGATTTTAGATTGTTGATATTGTTATTGGAAAAGATGAGAAAGGAAGAAAGGTCCCAGAATATCTGATCCATTTTAATGGTTGGAATAGAAGGTGAGCATATATTTAAATAAAAACATAGAATATTACCAACTAGGAGAGAATTAGTAATTCAGATATAATTCATACTACTCTAGATGAAGCTTGGACTCTAATATGTTCTGATTGACTTTAAAAATGATTTGGAAGCTTCTGCTGGTACAAAGTGTTGCTAAATCATAAGTCCTTGATAGTTAATCTGCAAAGTAATCTGTATAGTACCCTGGTTGCTAGCATGTTTCTGACTTGAATTTTAAGTTATATGAAATCTTGATTCAGCAGATTTTATATGCAAATCAAATTTCCATCTCAGCATCCCCCTCTAAAATGGTGGCCTTACATAACTGGAATGAGGCAATTCTGTTAATTTTATCTTAATTTTACAAAATCCCCAGGTGGTTTGTGCCATTTGTATAGTGACATCAATGTTCAAATGATAATAATCAAGGACTACCTATATTAATGGAATCCATAATGTATCTTACCTGCTCAGTACAGAGTGCCACTTCAGATTAGTTGGGAGCTTAGGAGATATATGCACAGTAATAATTATTTTATTATTGTTTTTTTTAAACTACTTAGTTGGGACAGATGGGCAGCTGAACATCATGTACTTTGTGACACTGATGAAAATCGCAGATTACAGCGCAAATTGGCAAGAAAAGCTGTGGCTCGCATGTAAGGATCAAATATGGTTAACAGGTTTTTTGAAATAGATTAAGTCATTTTCAAATGACTTAATTTCAGTATCAGCTGTAATGTTTTTAATTTTTAATCCTGGATATCTGGGGTAGCTATCTATATGTGCAGATGATTTTTCCTGGTTTTTTTAAATACAATATTTTTACTCTAAAATATTTGGTGCCCTTATAAAGTCACATGTTTCTGTTATAATGGCAGGAGAATCATTTCTGATTACAAATTTTATAAAATGGGGAGAATGCTTATTAGTAGCAGGTAGAAAAACAAGACAGGTTTTCCTTTTTTGCTGTTTTTATAGAAGAAGGAATTACTTGATCTCTATATCCTGCTGATTTATTTTTATTTTATTAATTCTTAAAATAATGGTTTTAGTTTGGCTTAGATAGGATGATAGAGATTATTAGACAAAAGTAAACTAGGCTCTGGTCAATGGTAAACTATAGACTGGGAAAAAGAAGATATGTTACCGTAATATGTATTGTGTATGAATTGACCGCTATATATTTGAAATCTATGTTTTTTATGTCAGAGAAAGAAACACAAATATGCCCCATTTTTGAAATGCTAAGTTTTACTTTTACTGCTTTAAAGTAGGTGAAAAATCATGTTAGCTAAATAGTAGCCTATCTTCAATTTTCTTTAGGAGAAGAAAAGGAAAGAAAGGGCGTTGCAGATTGCCAGGTGTTGATTCTGTACTGAAGCTCCTTCCTACTGAAGAGAATGAAAGGAGTAGTGAAAACTGTAAGTTGGCATATAGGGGATACTTGTGCTATCTAATAAAAAATTGTAATAATTAAATATTACTATAGTTAATAAGCAGGGAAATAATTTAAGTTCTCTTCCACAGATACTTGCAACTTAAAAGAAAAGTTGATTAAGGTAGTTGTAGTATAAAAAAGACAAATATAAACAGATATATTGAATATAGACCATGGATTTTTTTCTCCCTTTTTAATACAGTATCTACTAGGATAATTGAATTTAACCAGTACATTAAAAATACTAAAAAAAACATACTAAATATACATTCGGGGATTCTTTTTAGGTCAGTTATTTTATATATTATTGAACTAAGTGTCCTTTAAAGAAGTTTCACAAGGCTTCTGAGTTCAGGTTTTGAAAGTGAATGTATAGAGGGAATTGAAATTGCCGGAACCTTGGGTGAAAGTGATCATGTCATACTGGAATTTAATATAATGCAAACACTAGCAATAGAAAACAATCCAACAATGTCTTAAACTTCAAAAGAGCCGACTTTAACAAATTCAGAGAGAACCTAGGAAAGATCCCATGGATGAAAATCCTAAAGAGGAAAACAACCCAAGAAGCGTGGAAAACCCTAAAAAATGTGATCACAAAAAGCCCAGACCAGCACAATACCACTGAGAAAAAAAACAAATCCAAGAAGAAACCAGCATGGCTGCACAAAGATCTCTCTAACAAATTGAAAGACAATAAGGACAAATATAAAAAATGGAAAGAGGGGCACATAACCAAGGCCGATTATCAGCAGACAGCCAGAACATGCAAAAAAGAAGTCAGGAAAGCAAAGGCTCAGAACGAACAAAGATTCGCAACAGAAATCAAGGACAATAAAAAAAGTTTCTTCCAACATATTAACAACAAGAAAAAAGTCAAGGAAACTGTAGGCCCACTAAAGAGTGAAGATGGCAAGGAAATTACAGGCAACAGGGAGAAAGCAGAGCTGCTTACCTCATACTTTGTGTCAGTCTTCACACAAAAAGAAACTATAGCCCAACATACCAATCCCCCCACTGCAAACGACACACTAGAAACAAAAATTAAAATAAGCAAGAAAATGGTAAGAGAACTACTATCTGACCTTGACAAGTATAAATCACCAGGACCCGACAGATTACATCCCAGAGTTCTGAAAGAGCTGGCAGATGTTATCTCAGAACCGTTGCCCCACATCTTTCATAAATCCTAGAGCACTGGGGAAGTACCTGAGGATTGGAAAAGGACAGATGTGGTTCCCATCTTCAACAGAGGGGAAAAAACGGACCCAGGAAACTACAGACCAATCAGTTTAACATCAATACCTGGGAAGATCCCAGAAAAGATAATCAAAAAAAGACCTGTGAACAACTAGAAGCAAACAAATCATAACTAGTAGCCAGCACAAGTTTGTTAAAAACAGATCATGCCAAACCAATCTTATCTCATTCTTCGATAAAGTGACTAAACTAGTAGACCAGCAAAATGCAGTGGGCGTAGTATACTTAGATTTCAGTAAGGCATTTGATAAAATAGAGCAACCTACTCCTTGGTAAGCTAGAAAAAGGTGGAATAGACAACATCACCACCAGATGGATCTGTAGCTGGCTGACAAACCGTACTCAACTAGTAGTCCTCAATGGCACTACATCCACATGGAGAGAAGTTAGCATTGGGGTATCACAAGATTCCGTCTTAGGCCCAGTACTCTTCAATATCTTTATAAATGACTTAGATGAGGGAATTGAAGGAGAACTCATCAAATTTGCAGGTGACACTAAACTGTCAGGAGCAGTCAACACCCCAGAAGACAAACTCAGGATCCAAAAAGATCTAGACAAACTTGAACAATGGGCCCTATCCAACAAAATGAGTTTCAGTGTGGAGAAAAACAAAGTCTTACACTTAGGCAGGAAAAACCAAAAGGACAAATATACGAAGAACGGCTGCGGGACTTGGATTTGGCTAGTCTAAAGAAAAGAAGAAATAGGGGAGACATGATAGCAGTATTCCAGTATATGAGGGGCTGCCACAAGGCAGAGGGGGTCAGGTTGTTCACTAGAGCACCAGAGGGAAGGACAAGAAACAATGGTTGGAAACTGGTGAAGGAAAGAAGCAACCTGGAATTAAGGAGAAACTTCCTGACAGTGAGGATAATCAACCAGTGGAACAGCTTACCCCCAGAAATCATGGGCGCTTCATCACTGGAAATTTTTAAGAAGAGACTAGCAATGACGTGTCTGAGATGGTATAGGTTCTTCTGCTTGAGTAGGGGGCTGGACTAGAAGACCTCTAAGGTCCCTTCCAGCTCTATTCTATTCTATTTCAGGAAAAGAATCAAAGCACTAAAATATCCAGCAAAAAGTAGGCTTTCGTCAACAAATTATAGCAGATGGATAAGTTAGGTTTATTATTTTTTGTTCTTTATCTATATATCCTACTACCAATTAAGTTAGCTTACAGAAACAAGGGGATACATGTAACAAAACAAACAATAATTAACAATTTAAAAGGTAGCTCACAAGTGATTAGACCACAAGTGCTCAGTAGAATAGCCAGGTCTTAAGCTATTTATTTATTCATAAAAGTTATATGGCTGACCATCTTGTACAATATAGTCTAAGTAGCTAACAATCATCAAACCACTATATGTAAAAACTAAAAAACAGTAACCCCATCTTTCCTTTTATTCTCTGGAAAACTAGGAAGGTTCCCTTCTGAAATACTTCCCATTCATTCCCCTTTTCCTTCTGTGGACTTAGCCCTGGTGGCACAATATTTAGAATGCAGTATTGCAGACAAACTCTGCCCACAGCCAGGATCCTGATTGGCTCAAGATAGATTCAGCCTTTCATCCTTTCGAGGTCAATAAAATGAGGACTCAGATTGTTGGGAGCAATATGCTGACATTTGTAAGCTGCTCAGAGAGTGCTGTTAAGCACTATGGAGCGGTAAATAAATTTAGTAAAATAGCTATTGCTATTTTACATGCCAATTATCCATTTTATGTCTCTTGCTCCTGTCTTCCAAGATCATTCCTACATATAATTATAAATTGACATCATTTGATAGAGGGGACCTATCCTGAGGGAGGAGGTGGGCCCACAGATAACATGGCATCCCACTTTCCTGGTCATAGCCTAGGTAGTGATTCTTTGTTTTTCAAAGCCATTGCCTATGCCCTCTGCATTAAGCAGCCAAAAAAACTCTGGCCATGTCTTCCATCTGTTGCTTTGATTGGAGCTGTAATCCAGAAGAACCCCAAGTTACCTGCTTTTTAAGGTGGGGATTACTATATCCACCAGGAGCTCAAATCAAAGCCAAAATAAAGTTAGATTTCTTAACAATAGACAGAATTCTGTCTTGCAGAACTTGCTTTGGACTTTCCAGACATCAGGTCAGGATTTTCATAATATTCTAGCTTGACCTGGGATGGCAATATACGAGGGCAATTTGGAAATAAATCTCCATTTGTTTATCAATGACAGACACTCGCAGATATAGAACTTTTATTATACACATTAGAAAACTACAACATTAGACTTCCGGTTTTATGTAGCAGCTGAGGGATCACGGGGCTCTGCACCCTACGGCCGATTTCTGCCTGCCATGGGACCCTAAATGGGCCTGAAGTTGCCCCGTAGAGGCAACATAGAAGGAGGGAAGTCCCGCTGACTACAGAGAGATGGCGGTCAATCCGATCGGTTTGGAAAAGCCCTCCAGAATCCGGCAAGAGAAAGGCTAACTTAACTTTCGAGTGTAGCCCAAGCTACAAGCAACCAAGGTCCAAAAGTACTACTTCAAGTTGACTGTAAACAATGTGTTTGGAACTGGGTAAGAACAGTTATTTTCTCTCTTCTACTTGAAAATTGATTTCCTGGAAGAAAGAAAAACCAAAGAAACAAAAAGTGTCCGAAAGTGAGAAGGAGGGGGACCTTTGCCCCATCCTCCTGCAGATGGAAGCGGCAAATTAAAATTTTCAGGGGGAACAGAAATATACTGAAATGAAAAGAATATAAGACTTTATTTGGATAAGTTTGAAATTGGTGGAATCTTTTAAGATTTTCCTTTTATGTCATGAAAATAGAAGTAAACAATTGTCTATTACTGACTGGTGCTGACATCTATGGTGGATGAAAATATACAACAGCAGCTGCTCTATTACAGGGACTGGGAAAGCCAGGAAAAGATAAATTTGATTTTGGTGATCTTCAATGTCTTAATAACAGAGAACAGCTGTGACAAAAAGAAAAAAGAAAAAAAAACATTTTGGGCTATCTACAAAGTGAAAATTATAAACTCTTAAAAAAAAAAGAATTGACCTTTCTGAATTAGAAATACCCACTCAACTGTGACTCTAAACCTGTCTGCAGAGAAAGGAAAACCCTGATTTTTAGCTATCATGGAAAACCAGAGGTCTGCAGAAAGAATATACCAAGAAAAAATAAATACTTTCCAGAAGGAGATCTATGCTATGTTGCAAGTAATCCAAACAACAATAATTTCAAAGCATGAGGAGATTAAAAATAATTTTGAAAACATAAATGAACACATCTCCAATTTAACTTTACAACATAAAAATTCTCAGAAAATAAAAATAGAGAGTGAGCAGAAAAAACAGACAGCTAAATACAAGACAGAGGAGAGAAATTTCAAGATGGAATTTAACAATACAAGGAAGTATGACTTAACCCAGATGTAAAAAAATTTACAGGAAACTCTGGACATGGAAAAGACAAACTACACTTTAAGATTACAAAATAAGTTTGAGGACAAGAAAAAAGATTTGGCAAAATGGATTTTGCCAGGAGAATTATGAGAACTTGAGAGACAAAAAATAATAAATAAAATCAAGAAAGAAAGAAAAAGATTTTCAATGAATATGAAGGGGCGAAACCTTCCTATAAAAACATCTCACCCGTTTTGCCTTTTGTACCTGCAACAACATTTATAAGATTATGGGAAGATTTTTTGATTCATCAAAGTATATTGAACAGGAAAGA